GGGGGGGGGGGGGGGGGGGGGGGGGGGGGGGGGGGGGGGGGGGGGGGTAGAACGGCCTCAAGATGAAGACAGCAGAGGCAACGACAACAACAACAACAACACTCGTGGTGACGGGGTGGGGGGAGGGCGTGGATCCATTCATACACATCGACAAGACGCGCACCTTCTCGAAGTCCTTCTTGACCTGCTGCAGCTTTCGGAAGCTGTCGAGATCGTTCTTCCGGTGCTTTCTGAGCTTGTACCGCTCCTTCTCTCGGGGGCGGAACACCTGCATACATCATCCGGGTCCGTCGTTCGTTACCCGAGCAGCAGCGTTCAGAAAGGACGGCACATCACTAACGCTAGCACCCTCGAGGTAAACAAAAAAATAAAAAACAAGGTAGCCCAGGGGGATCAATATCGGAACAACGCAAAACGCTTAGTGCTACTACCTCAGACCAAAAAAGTGCACGCGGGAAACCAACAACCTCCGTTCTTCACATACAAGAGAAAACGTCAACATTTCATCGCCGCCAAGCCCTTGAGAAACGAGAAATGCCATGGTAGAGGGCAGGGCGGTCGACGGTGCCCAAGGGACGGCACACGAGGAAGTTGCGATAAACGAGACGTACAAGAGCAGCGATGACAGCCCCAGCAAACAAACACATGACGACGCCGCGACAAAGAAGCCGCACGCAGCCACGGGGAAGAAAAAAAACACGCGGGTTCAACGTGACAAAAAAAAAAAAAGGCACAAGAGAAGCAGACGTTGGTGTGCCAAACAAACAAGATTAACGACGGCGAGCAAGAGCGGTGTGGGGCGTTGACGAAACGTGAGAGCTAGAGTTTGTCTGCCTGTTGACCTTGTGAGGGTCGGTGTCGTTGGAGGGGGTCACGGGCCAGAATCTCCTCAGCAGCGGCTTGCCCATGCGAGACCTCTTATCCTTCCAGAAGCGGTACACCTCCGCCCAAGCGTCGTGGTGCACGGCCTGTGATATTTGCCGGATAACATTCATGAAAGCAGCCAAAAGGCGTGGAATCAGCGCCACTTACTGCTGCTGTGCCTAACATAAGAGCAGTGTCCAGAGCATCATGCGAGGTGGCATGATCGACTGATCGACCGCCGTCGCATAGACACATGTCGATTCTCAACACTCATGGGTGTGGTCGATGTATGCTTCTATCAAGGTGCATGTCGTCGCCTGCCGTAATACATGCCAGTTTTCGGCTGTCGATACGTAGGCCCGGTTGCATTGTTTGCCTTGTGGGGTGGCCTCCACAGCAGGGTGAAAAACTGTTGTCACATACTCTTCATCGAATAACAATAACACACAGCGACGACGTGCCTGTCCTCGCGTCGCTTCTAGACCACTCGTGTCAGTGCGGAATGTAAGGCAACCAAAAGAAAATTAGCAGGTGCCGAGAAACCGTGGGAGAGCGAGGGAGGTGGGACGTACTCATGTGTTGCAAAAAAAAAAAAAATGCCCTAGCTAAAGGGAGAGAGAGAGAGAGAGAGAGAGAGAGAGAGAGAAACAA